AATGGCATGCTGGGGGCTTTGAATGGCATGCTGGGGGCTACAGTGAAAATGTTGACAGCCAACACCAAAATTCAGTTTGATTTAATTTAAAGTTAAATAAAATAAAATTGTATGTTAATATTTTTCTTTGTCTCTATTATTTGGCAGCAACTTTGGGTTGCATGAAAGTCTTAAGAGGTTCTGGGGATTAAGATTCTGTCTGTCTGTCTGTCTTTCAATCCCTTAAATTCATCTGTGGAAACTCTTCATGAATCAATTGTTCCCTAATTTCTGAATCTAGTAGTATAGCAATCAGAAGATTTTTGGGAAGGGAGGAAGTTTCCAATCTCTCAAAAGCTCTCTGTCTCTGGAATGTTCTCCCATATTGCTAATTTTTCAGTGCCATCTGAAAACTATTCTGGTCTCCCAGGCAATATTGTGATTTTAGTACTGCTAAGGCTTTTCAACTCTTATCCCTGATGGTGCTTTTAGTCTTGATATTTGTATTCTTTTCAGTTGACATGTTAGCTTTTTTATATTTTATTACTCCCTGTGTTAAATTTGTTGCTAGGTACTATAGAAAATCATTTATTTTAGGAGGGAATAAATAAATAAAAATTAACCTTTGTCCAAATGACATTAAATGGGGAGCATTTGGCAGGTTCTGTGTGATCCCTGCTCATTGCAGCATTTGATGGTTGGTGCCATTAATCAAATGTCATTGCATGCCTTTGAACAAAATCACTGTCTTATATTTCTACTTGTAACTTGAGAATCAAACCTTCAGAGGAGATGTAGATGGACCTCAGAAACTAATACTCTCCCAAAATAAAGTGGATTGAGTTCATTTCTGCTATTGCTGCTTCGTGTCCTAGTAAATAAAAACAACATCCAAATGGAATAGGAGGAACCCTGTGTGTGTGTGTGTGTAAAAATATAAAAACATTTGGGCTAGAATTGGATTTTGTAGTTTCTTATTTTAAGCTATTTCCCAGAACACTGTTGGATAGAAAGCTCTGTGCTCAAATTTATTCTTTATTTTTATTCTTTTTTTGTGCATAATTTTCCACAAGTTGCATCTCTTCATTCTGCCCAAGTTTATCAAGCCTGTTGCAAACTATAGAAACTTCCAGACTG